GTGCGAAGGTACTGGTCCGAAGAATATGGCTTTGAGAAAATAAAAACTACAATGAGTATCAAACGATTTGAAAAAATTCGTGAAATGCTGCATTTCAATGATAATGCAAATATGCTTCCAAAAGACCATGAGAATCATGATCGTTTGCATAAATTACGGCCAATAATTGATTGGTTGAACAACAAATTTGAAAGTATTCCATTTGAAAAAAGTCTTTCTATAGACGAGCAAATCTGTGCAACAAAGGCCCGACACTATATGAAGCAGTATATGCCACTAAAACCACACAAGTGGGGCTATAAATTATTTGTTTTGTCCGGAATTACAGGATACGCATATCGATTTGAAATTTACTCTGGACAAGAAAATTCTCAGAAAAATCGTTTTCCAAATTAGCCTGATTTAGGGGCCTCAGCAAACGTTGTTATACGGTTATGCCGCTCAATTCCCAATAATTGTAATTACATTGTATATTTTGACAATTATTACACAGGAGTTCCTTTGATGGCATACCTGTACACAAAAGGTATTCTTTCGCTAGGAACGGTGAGAAGGAATCGTTTGCCCAACTGCAAATTTTCTGATGAAAAAATTTTCAAAAAAAAGACGCGTGGTTCTTTTGAAGAGTATGTTACTTCTTTTCAAAATGCTCCTTTCGCATCAGTGATATGGCTAGACAACAAAGCTGTTGCATTACTTTCTACATACATGGGGTCTATTCCTGTTCAAGAAGTGAAAAGGTTTGATAAAAAAGAAAACAAACGCGTCGAGGTACAATGCCCAAACTTGGTGTTAGAATATAACAAACAGATGGGTGGTGTCGATCTCCTAGATAGCATTTTAGGACGTTACAAAATCTCAATGAGAAGCAGGAAATGGTACTGCAGAATCTTTTACCATTTAGTTGACATCACTATTATCAATGCGTGGCTTCTTTATCGCAGAGTTGAAAAGCAGAAAGGAAACGCAACCACAATATCAATGGAAAAATTTCGTGGTGAAATTGCCAATTGCCTTTGTACCATTGGCCAGAATAATTCAAAAAAGAGCGGAAGACCATCCACATCAATTGATCGAAATTTAGAAAAGAAGAAGAAAAAATCGAGTTCGGCTGCAATACCTCCGAAAGACATAAGAACTGACAATGTTGGCCACATTCCAAAGTGGTCGAATATACGACAGCGTTGTAAAATTCCTGGCTGCAAGGGATTTTCTTTTGTCTTCTGCACAAAATGCAAAGTCAATCTATGCCTGAATAAAAATAAAGATTGTTTTGGCAATTTTCATGAATAAAATGTATCATGACATTTTTTTTTTATATACCATTTTTTTTTTTTTATACCATTAGTACATGCTGTAGCGTATATGATACACTCAAAAAAATACAAATAAAGGAATGAAAAAATACAATGGAATTTTTTTACTATTTTTTACCCATTTACAAAGCTAATAGCTGCCCAAAAATATTTTTTTGAAGCAAAAAAAAAATCATGCAGTGTAGCTTGGCAGATTAATTATATTCCCTTTGGTTATGCTGCAAAGGAAATTCATGCTGTAGTGCAAAAGGCCTTTAAACTTTGGTCTGATGTAACAAATTTGAAATTCATCAATAATTGGTCCTCATCAAAACCGAACATAATGATATCATTTGGAACAAAACAGCATTCCTTCAACAGCAAATGTACAAAATCACCATGTAAATTTGATTTTGATGGGAAAGGACTGGTATTGGCTCATGCTTATCCTCCGACTGGTGACGATAATGATTGTATCGAGACTCATTTAGATAGAAGTGAAGATTGGTACTTTGGATTGGATGGAAAAATATCTAATTATGGTCAAACGAGTTTGCTGTGGGTATTAGCTCATGAAATTGGACATACATTAGGATTAAGTCATTCGGATGAAACAAATTCCTTAATGTATGCATATTATGGTGACATTTCCAACTTAAGTACTGATGATGTAAGAGGAATTCAGCATCTGTATGGGAAAAAGCAAACACAGAATTGAGCTACCACAATTTCCACGCCTCCTTCTCAATCTCATCCTAAAACTACTCCTCCTACTACTACTACTACTCATCGTAAAACGAGTACTCCTACTTCCTCTAAAAGTACTACTACTAGTACTACTACTACTACTACTACTCCATCATTGGTACCTGCACACAAACCGACAAATTATCAGGATATTTGTAAGGTAGATCCTAAGGACTTACAATTATCATTAACAAAGATCGAGTATGGATAATCGATTTGGAAACAAAAAATTTCACTTCAAAGGACTTATCTATTCATTCAGTGTTACCGTTTTTACCTAAATTCGAGAAAATAACTGCGGTTTATCAGAGACCTTCCGAAGAAATCTTAATTATTATTGAAGCTGAAATATTCGCCATCAATGATAAAAACTTCCAGTTAATTAGAAAATCAAACGTTTCGGAAACAATTGCTGCACAATTCAACAATAGGAAAATAATAGGTGCAGTAAATTCGTATGCTGGAAAAACTATTTACTTTTTCGAGGATAATTACTATTTAATAATAAATGAATGTAACTTTGGCGTGGAAAAGTTTGGTTACATTTCGAAGGACTTTATTGGAATACCTTCATCTATCGATAGTGTTTTCAGATACATAAATGGGATGCTATACTTTTTCCAAAATGGCCGATATTTCGAATATAATGAGTTTACAAATTCTTTAAGGACATCAGATAAAATTGATTTATTAAAATTTGATATACAATGCCCCAATTTAACTTTATATGAACAATTGAAAGAACTATTGACACGTCTATTATTGGTTACGTAAACAAAATGCAGCTCATCATCATCAGTCGTTGTCTAGAGACCATGAACTGCACACTTGCTGAGAGAATTCAAAATCATCTAGTAAATCTCTCTAAATTGATAAAAGACTTGGACTTTTACCAAGAAAAACAGTTACTGTTCAAAAATTTTGAAAATTTAAAAATGGATTCGAAATGGGATGGAGTATTTTCATCAACTTCTAGATTTGCGAATGGATCAGCAACAAGCAATCGGAAAATTGTTCCAAAACCAGTCTATCAAGAATATAACATTGGAGACATTGTGCAAATTATTTATAATCCTGAGAAAACGTACATCGTCTTACATAATAAGAACGACACTTCAATTCAATTAACCTACAACGAATTTGAGGAATTTTTACAGTTTTTCGATAATATAAATGATGGATGGTCGGATACAAGCTTCTATATTGGCGAATTCATTTACGTTAGCTATTGGAATGAGGAAGAAAGTAAAGGCTTGACTATGGTGGATAAGCGAACAATGAAAAACATTTATTGGAATGAAAATCATCTTGATTCAATTTTAGAGCATAAATATAACTTGTATGATATTTTTCTTAAATAAAAATAAAAATTCAAACTTGTTCTTTTTCTATCCTATAACAAAACCCACAATAACTTGTGTAATATTCCATAAATAAAACAATTATTAGATAATTATAAAAATTCGTTATCGTCGCAGGAAATGCGGCTTCCGTGTGATAAGCAAGTTCGCACACAAGTTGCTGTTCTTCTTGTTGTTTGTTTATGAGAACGGTAGAAATTATAATTATTTTAAAAATAATATTTGGGGCCCCCCAATTAAATCGTTACAAGTCCGTGAAAAATGGGGCCCAAATTGGAGCACTATTTTTTCAATGATGATGATGATGATGATGTTGTCTTTTATGTGACCATATTTTTAGTTTAGAAAAATGGGGCCGACGACGACGAAAAAAGGGGGCCCAGTACGGCGTATCTTGGTACGAGGTACCAGGTACGAGGTAGCAGGTACGAGGTACCAGGTACGAGATACGCGGTATCAAATTTCAGGTTATGAGTTCTAGGTACGTTGTACAAATTTCAAATTACCAGCACGAGATATGGGACATCAAATTTCAGGTTATGAGTTCTAGGCTACGTGCGCCTCAAAATTTGGGGGCCTGTATTGGTTCCATATACGATAATGGATAATGGGGCCGCGGGTCTAGCTGCGGAGACAAGTGGCCCCTTTCCGATTTTTCCCTAGATTTAGGGAAATTTTATTGGCAACGTCGCACATTATCAGTTTCGGCAACGTCGCACGTACCTGTCATCTCGTATGGGGTATCTCATTTCAGGTTATGAGTTCATGTAAATGGGGCCCCCGAAAAAAAAAAAATGGGGCGACGGGTCTAGCAGCGGGGACAAGCATGTGGCCCCTTTGATGACGTCACTTATTGGGTTAGGTCTATTCAAATTGGGGGCTTGCTACTTAGGTTAGGCCTCTTTAAATTGGGGCTTGCCAAAAAATGGGGCCCACGAAAAAATGGGGCCACGGGTCTAGGTGCGGGGACAAGCATGTGGCCCCTTTGATGACGTCACTTGGGTTAGGCCCCTTCACTTGACGAAAAATGGGGCCCACCGAAAAAATGGGGCCCTGGAATGGGGCACAGGCGCACCTGGTGGAGGCCCCTTCAATTTGGGACTTCTCTGATGACGGGCGCGGGCCCCAGAACGAGAATGGGGCCACTTCCGGTCTAGAACCGGCCTAGTATGACTACTATCAGGCTATTGAATAATTCTAATTTATAGTGTGTCATACATATAGCATCATGCAGATGTTAATCAATATTGATGAAAATTTTTCTAGTGAACCGCTCTACCAGCTGAGCTACCGAGACTTGACCCGTTTCTACCTGGTCTCTTAAATCTTTCATCAATTTTTAGTTGTTAGTTTTGAACACCAACGGCAACCTTCGGTCGTTACCATTGGTATGTGAGTGAATAAGGGTCCTGGGTTCAAGTCCTAGTCAAGGCAAGAAAATGTTTCATCAATTTTGATGAACGTCTGCATTCCGCTAAATTCATGACACACTATAAATTATATTACAGGCGTTAAAAAATATCTAAAATAATTCTAATCGTGTTTGTGATTGAACGCTTTAGACATATATTGTTTCAATTTATTTTTTGTTTTTCAGGATGAATCAGTTAGACAAACGGATGCCCAAAGTAGTTACCTGCAAACTGAAGATAAGCTAGGAATCGCCGAATCAGATAAAAATTTTGGTAAGTTCATAAAAATAAAATACAATATACAAAATAAAATGAGAAAGAGACAATGAGAATTTAAGTTTATTTGAAAATTATTTTGGTTTCAGATGGGTTGTTGTGTCCATCATGTCAGCTGAGGCTTCCATCAAGCGACGTGTGCATTAACTGCAAGACAGAAATTCATAAAAATGGCCTATGTAGTACTGTAAGGGAAAATTTAACCTTTTGTATCAGGTGCTCAAAGGTAGAAGAGACCTCTGTAGAAAATTGGCGGGGACAAGGAGCAATTTCCAATAAGCGAAGACCAAGAACTTCCTACTTGGAACCTTGCTCAGAGTTATTAGAAACTGATTTTTCAAATGTTAGGAAAGTTTCACTAATAGGGTTACTAAGAAATGGACATCTAATTGATTTGAAACCAATTAAAATTTCTCCAAACCTTTCAGTTACCCTTTCAAATACATGTGCTTTTGATTCTATTATACAAATACTTGCCAGCAGTTTCTGCGATAGTTTTTGCTTCAAGGAATTATTGAAATTTTTATGCGAAAATAGCAAAGTTGCTGAACTGGTTTGTACTTTGATAAAAAGTAATGTTACGAGAAAGTTATATCGTTTAAGAGCATTGATTCTAGAAACAACTTTTAATAAAATAGAACACCCTTTCGGCATAATTCACCTTAATGTTGAAACAGAAATCGGAATTTTAATACCTAAATTAGATCTCAATTTTTCTGTTACCCAGGAACGGAAATGTGATAATTGCTCATTTTTTAAAATAAATAATTCTAAAACACTGGAAGTTGAGGTAGGCTCAAATTCCAATCTAAGGGATGAAATACTCCACATGTTAACCAGAAGGTTTAGGGGTAGAAGCTGCCAATGTGGTGGATCTATATACATACAAAATTATGTATCACCGGTATTTTTTTTTGTTGAAGTACTTAATTTAGAAGCAAAAATATTTCAGTTCGAAAGTACCTTAGATGAATTTCCAAAAAAAATTGATATTTTTGGAAATACGTATATATTAGGGGAGTTATCGGTCATGAAGGTCCAAATATTGGAGTGGGACATTTTGTAGCCTATTGCTTCAGACATAATAATATGTGGGAAGAGTATGATGATCGCGGAAAGCACAATAAACCATGTTCGAAAACCAAACATATAAAATGTCAACTTTTATTGTACACAGCTTAAAAACAAAATATACCTAAAGTTCGTTTCATGAGGGTTCATACTTTTGACATCGAAGACGTCATTAACTTAAAAAAAAAGGGTTGTCATAAATTATTTCATACTTAGAGCAGGTAAAGCGCTGTGACATAAGGAGTAGGAACGCGCCATTCTGCTATGAAACGAAAGTGAAGCCAGTTTTTGGCAGGTGTTTGGCAACAAATGACAAGTAAAGCATTGCATTGCCTATACCGCCATTTTTTTGGTGCCAAAACACCTGGAAAAAAAACGCCTTCATTTTCCAACTCCATGTTACTACTCCTTTACCTTTACCTTTTCATATGACACATTCAATTTTTTTGACAAATTAATAGGAGATTATACCACGAGTCAATAATGATAGCCAATAGAGAGATTTTGAGCCACCTATTTGATCAACGTTATACGTTATCGGTTATTTTGCTCATGCGCAATAGTGAAAAAATAACCGGTCCGCTTAATAAGCGGTAACGTACTACGCTAATTATGTGGAAATAAACGGAACGTTATTAACCGATAACGTCTTTTCCGCATTTCGACGTCCTTTTATATTTTCAATGTTATCCATGAAGTGCAGTACACAATTACACAAAACAAAATACAAATGAATACCTAACAGTTCGAACATAAACAACAGACAACATAAAATTTGATGTTAGTTACACAAAATCAAAATCCTAACCACAAATTTTCATTAACGTTTAGCGTATAACGTCCTTCACAAGTTTTGGCGTCAAAAACTAAAAAAGGCTAAATGTCATCCGCTATTTTTCAAAGACTGCGCTTGCTCAGTTTATTGTTTAGCGTGTAACGTATTTCAAAATTTATGTGGCTCAAAATCTATCTACATTATTGCGAGTAGTATACTCTACTTTATTTACGACAAATTAATTTATTTGAAATTTCCCTTCCAAAAACGGTCTTTGTTCATCCATCTCAATACAAATATACAAGCACTACGCGTTTGACACTGACACTTTTGAGTTTGTTCATGTATTGTTTCCATGGTAGTACTACTTATTTAATTTGAGAAATTTTGTGATTGGTGTGCAAGCGGGAATAATGACCATTAATCCCTGCGGGAATAATATATAGCATTATACTGCCAAAATCACAAATATAATACTTACATTATATGTCACTCGTAAATAAAATGAATGACTTCTGGTTTAAGAACCAACGAACTTTTTTGACGTCATTGATTTGTTTCAGTCAAATTCTATTTTTTAAAAAAGGAAGGCAAATTATGTCAAAAGTATGAACCCTCGTGAAACAAAGTGTACATCAAAAACATAAATATTGGAATATAATTGTTATTTTTATATCTAGTGCGCGAAATGCTATTTTAATAAACATTTCGCGCAGGAGTTGCAAACAATATTTTTTCTACAACTCCATTCAAATATCAATAATTCGAAGCTAAAATTGCATTAACAATCAAAGGCAGGTGAGTTTTAAAATTATTTTTGGTTTTCTGTCAGGTACTTGTTACCTCGGCAACACTGCGGAGTGTGCCGTCATTGTCAACAAATATTTTACTAACGGCAATTTGGCAACAAATTGTGTAAAACCGCTGTTCATATCAAAAATAAAAAAAATTATAAATTAATCAATCATTCTCAATTAAACATAAAAAAAATATCTATTTGAGTAACAAAAAGTTGAAAAACAAAAAAAAAAAATAAAAAAATAAGAATAAGTACACAACGAGATACATTTTGCTGGAGAATGTTTTGCCTATAACAAAATGTATTCCTATTTTCTATATTTATCATTATTGCTTATACATATAATTAATAAGCGTCAGTTTCTTCAAAGAAAATGTCACTAATTAATATCAGTGGTAACTTCCAATTAGGTATTATATTTTTTTGAAAATATCTTTTCTTCTGTAAAATTGCAGTTGGATTTTTGAAAAATAAATTATTCTTTAAGTGTTAGTTGTGACGGCAAAAAATATAGACTTGGTATTTTTGTAAATGTATGAATTATTTTCAATTATACCTTCTCAAAACTACGGTATTTGGTACCTATTTCGGCATTTTGGAATTGTTTAGCAAAAATAAATATGAATGGCAAAGACAGAACTCTCCATTCCATCCCAAATATGGGCGCCCAACATGTTTATTCTCAAAACTGGGATGTTATCTGAGAGAAAGAAACAAAAAAATCGTTGGTGCAAAATGCAAAACTAGGAGAACAATTTGTGCTATTATAAATTGAAATTTGGCGTGTGGGGGGGGGGGGCAACTTTTTCCCTTTCAATTCCCTGTAGAGGCTTAAGGGTTGCGGTGCAAAATTTAACATTTATGGTGCAAAATGGTGGAAAACTCGAAGAACAATTTGTGTTATCATAATTTGAAATTTGGCGTGTGGGGGGAGGGCAACTATTTCTTTTTCAATCCCCTGTAGAGGCTTAAGGGTTGCGGTGCAAAATTTAATATTTATGGTGCAAAATGGTGCAAAACTCGGAGAACAATTTGTGCTATCATAAATTGAAATTTGGCGTGTGGGGGGGCAACTATTTCTCTTTCAACCCCCTGTAAAGGCCCAAGGGTTGCAGTGCAAAACTTAATATTTATGGTGCAAAATGGTGCAAAACTCAAGGAATAATTTGTGTTATCATAAATTGAAATTTGGCGTGTGGGGGGAGGGCAACTATTTCTCTTTCAACCCCCTGTAGAGGCTTAAGGGTTCCGGTGCAAAATTTGATATTTATGGTGCAAAATGGTGCAAAACTCAAGGAATAATTTGTGCTATTATATATCGAAATTTGCCGTGTGGGGGGGGCCAACTATTTCTCTTTCAACCCCCTGTAGAGGCTTAAGGGTTGCGATGCAAAATTTAATATTTATGGTGCAAAATGGTGCAAAACTCGGAGAATAATTTGTGCTATTGTAAATTAAAATTTGGCGTGTGGGGGGGGCCATGGTTAATTTGCCCCCCTCCCCCCCCAGTAATACTTCCATATAGTTTCTCTCCTGAGGGGGTGCAAATTTTTTTTCGGGTGGTGCAAAACGATGCAAAATGGGTGCAAAAAAATGGTATAAATTTTAATCGATTTGGAAATATGGGGGGGGCTAACTTAACTGACTCCGTTTGACAGCGACAATTTCGCAATTCTCTGCGGTCGCAAGTTACAGAATAAAGCTACGTTTACATTCAATTCCAATTCAAATTGCAATTGGAATTACTTGGCAATTGAACGACTGGCCGTTTACATTGAAATTTGTTTGGTAAAAATTGTACTTTGTACTTGACCGAAACTAAACATTGAACCTAACCTTTAAATTTGTGATTTCGAATTTTTTCTTATCCATGTCAAGCTGCTTGCACCAATTTGAATTGAAAGTGGACGTGACCAAGGGCGTACCCAGCGAGGGGCAGGGGGGGGCAGCTGCCCCCCCCTAAAAAATTTTATAAATTATAAAAAGGCTCCGCTAAGTGCAGAAAATAAAAAAATCAAAATAAACCACTATGGTTTTACTAAAAAAATTACAAACCCGAAAAATATACTACTAAATACTACTAAAATATATTCATATACCTACGTAAGTCAAACGCAGCGCACTGCACAGCCTACTAGATTTGCAATTAGCGGAATTAGCAAAGAAATATGAATTTTCTATTACGATCCTGGCCCCTGCGAATTTGTTGTATTGTGTTGTTTTTCTAACGGAATTCGATTATTTTCATTTCTTATTCAATGTTAATTTGTTTGTGCAAGTACTGCAAGTAAACTTAATTTACTTAGTTGTTGATAAACGTCTATGCTATGTTGTTAGCAGTTACGTTACACT